GGAGAGGTGTGTACATATCCCCCCCCCCCCCCCCCACAGGTACTTTTATGCAGCATTTTGTGGAGATGAGGGGGGTTGGAGGCACCTTGAATGATCGGACCTTGCCAATGAGGTGGAAGGTCCTCCTCTTTGTTGCCAATCATTCGTGTAGGACGTTCCCATTGGTTCCTCTACCTTCTGCCTGGAGGTCAGAGAGTGAGATCACCGGGACGCGCGTACCAGGGTCATGGTAGTAAATAGGCAACAAAGACTTGGTGAATGCCATCGGATCCTGAAGAACGGATTGGGCAGATTTTACCAAATTGATTTATGTTGTATCTCTTCTCGTATATGGAGAACGTCTGGGTGAGGAGGAGACTCTGACCACTCTGTTTTGTCTTACAGATGGAGAGCCGGTGACCGTCACTGACACCAACCTTCCAGAGTGAGCACCAGGGGGGGGGTCGTTGTCCTCTGTGTGCCAAGGTCTCTGGTGCGTGCCATGACAGCCAGCTCAAGTCTCGTCCATCTTCAGCCTTGTGAGCTTCTGATACCTGCTGCCAGACGCTTCACACCTCCCGGAATGACTTCCGGATAGAACTTTCCCTCCTCCTCCCAGTTCCTAAAAGACCCAACTTCCTCATCAGCCTCCTTTACACCTTATAGCGCTCCAATGTTCCTACATGAAAAGTTGGCCGTCTCCTTGCAGCTGGCCCCCTGATGACACTCATGCACTTCGGCAAGCGGTCACGGGGCCGGATGGAAGAGCCAGAAAGGGACAGCCACCCCCCTTGATGAGGTGCAGCAGTGCTTGTTCTGGTGATCTCAGGAGGCTTCAGTGTGGTCTACGGTGCCTGTGAAGAGAATGGAACATAATTCTCACTTATATGAGAATCCCAGAAGTGCCGGGAGGGGCCCCAATGCTGGGAGGGGCCCTAAGAGAGAGAAAAAAGGTATTTGGGGAGGGGGAAAAATTAAATATCCAATTATTGAGAAGAGGGGGGGAGTGTAGGAGGTCAATTAGGTAAGGTGGGTGGGAGGAGCGCAGGTCAGCTGCAGTATTTTAGCATGAGGCTTTCACATTGATAGTGCTGCGTGCTTGATATTGTACCATCGCCCTCTAGTGGTTCTCTCTGACATAGAAACACACCGATAAGATGTATTCCCTTTATAGCAATCAGGGTTACAGGTAAAACGCTCCACATTCCCTACAGGTAACCACGATCGAACCCGCCCACGTGCTGCAGCTATCGATATGTATTATCGATCTTGTGAACTCGGCTGTTCTTTCCCCAGACTGTCACAGCGAACTCTCACCACTAGGTGTCACTGTAGTCTCCCCGACCAATGTTGGGGGTTTGTACCGGGACGCCAGAGTCCTAGGAGGCGGAGCATCCAGTCCCCACCCTTGCCTCTCACAAGAAGAGGGATAGATTTGGCTGTTCCTTCCCCCAAGGAGCCACAAAGGAGAAATCGCAGAATTTTCAGCAATCCGCCACTAAAGTTTTTATGCCAGACGTGGCTCTGCGCTTATTTTATATCGCCGTCATTGTCACCGGCTTCCCGAACGGGTTTCTTGGTGTTGCACTTTGTTTGTATATTTCGTTACTCTGAGGAATTGTTTATATCTCAGCTTTGTATAATGTGTTTTCCTGCTGAGCTCAGGACGACCTTTTACATGTATATGATATTACTTCAAATAAACCAAAAACGAACTCATCTGGTATCACTTATCATAAGACGCGCGGACCTGTCCTCAGACGCGCGGGCCTGCCCTCAGACGCGCGGGCCTGTCCTCAGACGCGCGGGCCTGTCCTCAGACGCGCGGGCCTAGCCTCAGACGCGCGGGCCTAGCCTCAGACGCGCGGGCCTGTCCTCAGACGCGCTGACCTGTCCTCAGACGCGCGGGCCTGTCCTCAGACGCGCGGACCTGTCCTCAGACGCGCGGGCCTGTCCTCAGACGCGCGGGCCTAGCCTCAGACGCGCGGGCCTAGCCTCAGACGCGCGGGCCTGTCCTCAGACGCGCTGACCTGTCCTCAGACGCGCGGGCCTGTCCTCAGACGCGCGGGCCTGTCCTCAGACGCGCGGACCTGCCCTCAGACGCGCGGACCTGCCCTCAGACGCGCGGACCTGCCCTCAGACGCGCGGACCTGCCCTCAGACGCACGGACCTGTCCTCAGACGCGCGGGCCTGTCCTCAGACGCGCTGACCTGTCCTCAGACCTCAGGGTAGAATCATCCAGAAGGGGAATGGACGGACTGTATCTAAGGTGACCCTCTGCTGATTGTCAGGTCGTGGATGATAAAGGAGAGACATCCTCTCACTTCCTGCCCTACTGAAGTGACAGGAAGTGAAGGGATTAGTTGAAGATGAATAAAGATTGTTAGGAAGTGTCTTTGAATAATCTTTATTTGGAGGGAAGAAATTAACAAGGAGATCACTGAGCCCCCGGCTGTACATACTCTGCAGGGTGACAATGCAGTGGGATCGCCTGCGGAAAACTCTTTTAGCTCCGTGACCCCCTTCCAATGTCCCCCATTTATTTCTGGATCGGGGACACAAACATGCGGGTATCCTGCAGAGCCGACGTGTCCAGACAATGTGGAGAGACAACCGGACACACAAGAGTGAAGAAATTAGATTTATTAAGAACACAAGTGACAAGCAACATAAACACAGCACCATGTGTGAATCTTGGGTGAAAAGATAAATGTGCATGGTTTATACCCAATCGGGTTACTTATAAACCATATATATATATATTAGGAATTAACCCAATTCGGTATATACTGTACACATTTATCAATTTTTTTCACGCAAGATTCAGATTCACACATTTTTCTAAATGACTCTTCTGGAAAAGTAGGTGAATCTTCAGAGAATAAGTGACTCTGAAAGAATATTCGGGTGAACATGAGTGAATCTTGGCCAAAAAAAAAGATAACCTTCACATTTCCTACACTCCTGTGACAGTATAGAACACCCCTGAGTGTGACAGAGCCGATCATTCCCCGGGCAGAATGAAAGCACGAGCGCCGCCACTGCCAATCAGCAAATAAGCGAAGTGACGCCATCTTGTTGTAGTCCTCTAGTGTGGGACTCGTTTTTGAAAAGGGAACCGCACGCCCAATATGGCTACTCGGGGAGGAGACTGAAATAAGCGAGTGATAGCGCTCTAGTGATGGACATTCTCTGCCTGCTGATTGGCCCAAAACGGCGATTACGTCAGTGATTTCCTGGCGTATGCTGGGGCTGCGGTCTATGTCATTGGTCAGTAGCCCCGCTCGATGCTGCGCCCTCCATGCATGACGGATCGATTTTTTAAAAACAGTGACGAGATTGTGCGCGGAGCTGCGATAGGCTGGCGGAAACGTGACGTCAGAGCCCAGGGGCTTTCACGCTATCCCATTGGCTGAGAAGTTTTTTCGCTCACCCGGCTGGTTCGGAATAGGTGAGTGAGGGGAGAGGGTGATGTCCGCTGGAGGAGCGCCGGGCCCCGGTGTGACCCGGTTAAGGACCGACATTCCTCCCAATAAATACACTGTGGTTGGGGGATCGTCACATTCACCCACACCTCCTCCATATACAGAACAGTGAGGGGAATTCATCAAAACTGGAGCAGTCGCCCTTGGCAACCAATCAGCGTCTTTGTTTCTTGTTCAAAGTTAGAATGAAGAAAGAAGCTGATTGGTTGCCATGGGCGACTGCTCCAGATTTTCTCTGCTCTAGTTTTGATAAATTCCCCTCACTGTGTATTCATTAAAATGAATCCCGAGACACCATTTCCACCAGATGACAGAAGTGATCGATTCACCACCAGTGAATCTTTGGTGAAAGTCTCATTTACTACAATATAATGCCTCCCCTTTGCCTCCTATAGAATCTGGAATAAGTGTCACCGGAAAGAGTGTCCCCATATGAATAATTCCCCCTTCTTCCTGTCCCGGGGGATCTTCCCGTCACTTTGTCCTTGTTTTGGTTCTGGATACATTGTAACGTTTTTCAATCACCGGGTTTCCTCTGTCACATTGTTACCCTAAGCTCCTCCTCCTTTAGAACTAGGACCCTCCCACATGTCCCATCCGGAGTGTCTCAGTGGTCAATACGGACACTCTGATTGGACGACGGGTGGGTAGGCGGGGTTTTTGGGGAACACTTATGTTCATCCAGAACAAATATTGATACAATACCCCATCCCCCCGCTGATGATCAATGACAACTTCTGCCATCCTGTCGCCTATCCAGATTCCAGGCCGCCTGTGTAGACCGAACGTCATCCGCCATCTTCTACCCGCAGCCACGCAATGGAGAAACTGCGCTGCCCGGAGCACGGTGAGCTCATACGATGGAAGTCTGTCTGTCCGATGGCGGCGTCCTCACGTCCGTCCTCCTGATCTCCTCCATTTCTCCTCCGCAGGCTGTCTGTGTTTCCTGAAGACCGGCACCCGGGATGGACCCAGCAAGGGGAGGAGCTTTTATATCTGCTCAGCCAATCGCATCGCACCGTGCCCGTTCACCCAGCCCGCCAAGTACGTATAGAATCGCAGCTGACGCATCATTTAATGGTTGTCACCGGGAGGAGGAAGGAAGGAAGATCTCCCAATGGTGACACCTGTCTGAGGGGTGTGAGCCTTGGGGTCAGGTCACACAAGTGATGGAGAGAGGCTCAGCCCACTTATTTCCACGTGGCTCAGTGAGCAAGGCATCCGTCCTTCGGTGGCTGGATGAGCAAGATGTTGATCCCTCATTGCCAACTTGCATTCTCTAGCAAGGGGGGTGACACAGAGCTCATCCAGCCACCCAGGGAGTGACACGGAGCTCACATACCCCCTCACAGGGGTCATGGGGGGTCACCGGAGACAGAGGAGTCTGTAGAGACACAGGTAAGATGTAGCGGGGGGCTCGGCTTTGACACAGTGACGCATTGCTTGTATGCCCCCGCAATGCATCACACGGTCCTTTAAACGCACGCCAATCAGGAGAAGTGAAGCCAATAGGACGTGGTGATGGGAGAAGTCCTGCTGGTGGCTGCGGGGGGGGAGGGGGTGTCCCCCTTTCTAATGACTTTATAACCTTCCGGTGTCGTCTTTGTTTTCAGCCTTCCTCCATCGTTCTGTCTGCTGCATGAAGAACATCAGGTGGAGCTGCAGTCGCTGGTGAAGCAGGACTCCGGAGGTTACAGGTCAGGCAGCCATATTGTCTCTGTGTCCCGCTGCTGGAGAGCCCCCCGTCCACCCAGAGCAGTATACAAAGTGCCGCCGGTCACGGGTCCGGGCGCCTGCACGCCGGCGGGGAGGGGGAGGGTGACCCAGATTTGTCTCTATTGTCCTCCAATATTACTGGGTAATGTATAGTAAGGATGGGGGTGCAGCCAAGTGTGGGGAGCCCGGGGTGTCAGTGATGGAGCCTCTGCACCGTTCGGTGGGGCCTCGGCCTGACACAGATATACATATAAGGAGCACTGACCCTCGTCTGACACCTCCCCGCTGTCAGCCGTCTGTCACCTGTAACACGGGACTCTGCATGCGGACAGTTTTTGGCCCGGCGGGATCGGCATTCCTGTGATGTAGAAATATTATGCGTTCGGAAGAAATCTCGCCAAACAACACCGCGAAGAGGCAAAGTGCATGCCGCACCGCGTCCCATTTTCATAGGTGGCGTGGGGAACAGCGCGCCCCCTTCCGCCCACCGCTGTTTGACCGCACTGATTAGGAGACTAAGCTCATTGGTTTTAAGTGACAACACGAGCCTCTGGCGCCAGGCGCTTGTCCGAGACGAGCGCCATCACAATGCATGTCGGGGCAGAGGAGCGTCCGAGGGGTTGCCTAGCGACGAGCACACCGAGTGAAAGACCGGCACGCTCACAGCAGAGGGAGGAAAGCAGCGCGGCTCTGCCTGTGCTTCACACTCCTACAAGGGGATGAGGTCTGTCAGCTTCCGTGGAGCACAGAGCTTGTTCATATCAACACCAGAGGTAGACTAGACCAGCGCTGATGACATCGGCATGCCCATGACGTGCCGCAACAGCAGAGGAGGTGGGGCCACAGAGCAAATAGGATCAGCTATAGGCCGGGGAGGATTGGCCGAGATAAAGAATGGATCGCCGCGCAACCGTACAGAGTTTCTCTTTGACATTCAGAGATGAGTATTCCGTACCTGGATGGTGACCAAGCTGGGAAGGGGGCTACCCGTGCGCCTCCGGGGGTAATGACGGGGGATGTGAAGACGTGGAGGAGCGCAGGTGCTGGTACTGATTTCTAGGGACACAGGACCAGGGTGACACCGGGGACCCCTCGATTACTGGAGCAATGGCAGCTGTGTAGGGGGGGAAACACCGGTCCGATGGGGGGGGGGCCAGAGAAGCGGAGGTACCAAGCAAAAGGTGGATATCCAGGAGCAGAGTCAGGTTCCAAGCCACACACGGGAAAGCAGAATCTCCAAGCAGCGAATGATAGGTCAGAAGAGAGGTCAAGGGTCATGTATGGAAGAGCAGAGAGTCAAGGTACCAAATCAGAAGGAGGAAGGCGGAGGCGGAGTCAAAGGTCAAAAGCCAGAAATCGTACACAGGGGAGCAGATTCACAGGAACAAAATGACGACCACTCAGCAAACTTACTCATGGCCCCCGTCTGTGTAAATAAAGTGAGCGCGCCCGCTAATTAGCGTGTCAGTGCGCTAATGTGCGTGCGCCCATATGTAATTTGCAAATGTGCACTCCGGTGCTTGCATGCCTATGCACCAGTGCGCATTTGCCCAAAACCTTCAGCACAGGATTGCGCACAGATGCGCGCGGAGGTCTTTGAGCCGGTGTTCTATCGAGAGCTCCAACTCGTCGAAATCTCCAACTACCTCACTGGCGGGTACTTTGCAAGTTGCAGATTTGGACCAGACGGCGTTAGACTGCAAAACACAAAGACGGGCGGAGCTTCTGTACGGCTGCCTTTTAACAATATTCAGCAGGTGGCAAACTCGACGAGTTTTCTGAAAACGCTACGCGCGCATGCGCGCCGCAACTGTACAGAGCTCCCGTCTTTCTGAGCACCGGAAGTGAGGTAGTTGGAGATCTCGATGAGTTGGAGCTTTCGATAGAACACCGGAACTGGTTTGCTGCCAAGCCTCTTACAATAAGTATTTCTACATTGGTCAACAGACCAGCAGCTAAGATGTAATGGCTCAGAAGACTTTTATAGGGGGGGCACCCAGCAGCGGTTTGTCATGTCATCCGCAGTATTGAAGTATTCCTGACCGGCGTGATCGCTCTCTCTGCAGGTTGTATTACCGCTGCACCAAGAGCAAGAGCGACGGCAAGAAGTATTGTGGGAACATTCCATGGCAGGTAATGTAGCTAGTGCTGGATGGGTTCTATCACTGGCACGGTATATGTGGCTGTTATTGTGGATATGAGCCAGTCTCTGATAAAGTCTTTTCTCTGCTCCTCCTCCGTCTCGTGTCTTCTTCTCCTCCGTCTCGTGTCTTCTCCTCCTCCGTCTCGTGTCTTCTTCTCCTCCGTCTCGTGTCTTCTCCTCCTCCGTCTCGTGTCTCCTCCTCCTCCGTCTCGTGTCTCCTCCTCCTCCGTCTCGTGTCTTCTCCGTCTCGTGTCTTCTCCTCCTCCGTCTCGTGTCTTCTCCTCCTCCGTCTCGTGTCTTCTCCTCCTCCGTCTCGTGTCTTCTCCTCCTCCGTCTCGTGTCTTCTCCTCCTCCGTCTCGTGTCTTCTCCTCCTCCGTCTCGTGTCTTCTCCTCCTCCGTCTCGTGTCTTCTCCTCCTCCGTCTCGTGTCTTCTCCTCCTCCGTCTCGTGTCTTCTCCTCCTCCGTCTCGTGTCTTCTCCTCCTCCGTCTCGTGTCTTCTCCTCCTCCGTCTCGTGTCTTCTCCTCCTCCGTCTCGTGTCTTCTCCTCCTCCGTCTCGTGTCTTCTCCTCCTCCGTCTCGTGTCTTCTCCTCCTCCGTCTCGTGTCTTCTCCTCCTCCGTCTCGTGTCTTCTCCTCCTCCGTCTCGTGTCTTCTCCTCCTCCGTCTCGTGTCTTCTCCTCCTCCGTCTCGTGTCTTCTCCTCCTCCGTCTCGTGTCTTCTCCTCCTCCGTCTCGTGTCTTCTCCTCCTCCGTCTCGTGTCTTCTCCTCCTCCGTCTCGTGTCTTCTCCTCCTCCGTCTCGTGTCTTCTCCTCCTCCGTCTCGTGTCTTCTCCTCCTCCGTCTCGTGTCTTCTCCTCCTCCGTCTCGTGTCTTCTCCTCCTCCGTCTCGTGTCTTCTCCTCCTCCGTCTCGTGTCTTCTCCTCCTCCGTCTCGTGTCTTCTCCTCCTCCGTCTCGTGTCTTCTCCTCCTCCGTCTCGTGTCTTCTCCTCCTCCGTCTCGTGTCTTCTCCTCCTCCGTCTCGTGTCTTCTCCTCCTCCGTCTCGTGTCTTCTCCTCCTCCGTCTCGTGTCTTCTCCTCCTCCGTCTCGTGTCTTCTCCTCCTCCGTCTCGTGTCTTCTCCTCCTCCGTCTCGTGTCTTCTCCTCCTCCGTCTCGTGTCTTCTCCTCCTCCGTCTCGTGTCTTCTCCTCCTCCGTCTCGTGTCTTCTCCTCCTCCGTCTCGTGTCTTCTCCTCCTCCGTCTCGTGTCTTCTCCTCCTCCGTCTCGTGTCTTCTCCTCCTCCGTCTCATGTTCTCTGTCTCTCTCCCTCCGCTATTCTCTTCATCAGGAAGTGCGGCAGAAGCTGGTTCACAGGTCCGCGCTCGTGTTGGAAAATACTGATAAAACTCAGAGGAATCCCTTTAGAGTCATCAATGAGGGTCCCAGACATGGAACGTGGAAAGAGATCAGCGAGGACAACAATCACAAGAGGGAGGGCGTGAGATCCCAGGGTGAGGACAGGAGGCCTAGTGATGAGGAGAGGAAGACCAAAAATGGGAGATCGGATCAGGAGGAGAAGCAGCATAGTGATAGGAAGGATCGGGACACAGCTCCTAGTGATAGGAGGGATCGGGACACAACTCCTAGTGATGGGAAGGGTGAGGACACAGCTCCTAGTGATAGGAGGGATCGGGACACAGCTCATAGTGATAGGAGGGATCGGGACACAGCTCCTAGTGATAGGAAGGATCGGGACACAGCTCCTAGTGATAGGAGGGATCGGGACACGGCTCATAGTGATAGGAAGGATCGGGACACAGCTCATAGGGATAGGAAGGATCGGGACACGGCTCATAGTGATAGGAAGGATCGGGACACAGCTCATAGGGATAGGAAGGATCGGGATACAACTCCTAGTGATGGGAAGGATCGGGATACAACTTCTAGTGATAGGAGGGATCGGGATACAACTCCTAGTGATAGGAAGGATCGGGACACAGCTCCTAGTGATAGGGGGTCTGATAAGGAAAAGAACAGAGAGGGTGAAAGACAGAGTAATGAGAAGGTGGGTCCAGAGAGGAAGATCAGTGATGGTCAGGAGAAGAGACAGAGCAGAGACAGGAAATGTGATCAGGAAAAGATTGGTAGCAGTGGAAAGTCTGATCAGAAGGTGACTACGGATAGGAAGTCTGATCGAGGGAGGCAGTCTGATAAATGCCCGGCTCAGCAGGTAGAGCAGAGTTTGAAGATGAGTTCCCCTCTTGAGAAGAATTCAGACATTTTGGTAAACAGGAGCCCGGAAGAAGAGCCCGCCTCCTTTCAGATGTGGCGGGGGGAGGCGCTGCCATCTGGGTTGAAGATAAAGAAGAAGGAGGTTCAGCACAGGGAAGAAGGGACCCGTCATCCTGAGTCTGAAAGTAAAGTTCAGAGTCATACACCAGGTGACGAGAGGAAGAAACCTTCTGATTGCCGGACAGAATCGGGTCACCAGGAACCCGCGTTCTGTAAAGACTATGGTGTTCGGCCTCATCACAAAGAGGCCCGGTTACCAGCAGAGGCTGATGATGAGGCTGAGCCATCCAGGTTGCGTTCTGATGATGGGAAGGGCAAGGAGGAACAGGAGATCGGTGAGGACGCTGATGAAGATGATATCGTATTTGTGAGCTCTCAGTCTGGAAAGGATCAAGCAGCTGCAATAAGGACATCAGGGGGAGGAAAGCAAAGGACCATCACCTCCTTCCCAGGATTCATCCCGCAGACCGGGACTCAGAACTCCACCGGCCTCCGCTCAATGTTCACAGCTCAGCTCCAGCAGAAGAAGGTGAGTGACGCCCCCACTGGAGCCATGGTGCTACAGCCTCGGCTTACAAAGATTGTGTATTCCTCCTTAAAGAGACATTCTTCCCATAATGTGCTTGAATAAAAGGGGTCTGGAGAGAACGGTGACCTCACCCCTTCCATTATGTGACCGCGCTCAGGTCTAGCGGCTGGCCTCTCCGGTGACTGAACAGGTAGCAACCTGCTGCGAACACTTCCAGGTTCTCTGGTATAGGAGCAGATCAGGGACTCTTTGTTCCCGATCAGCTCAGGCACAGTGCAGGGGATGGCTTTGGGGTCGAGACCCCCTTATGGCTCCATAAAGAGAATCGGTCACTGTACAATACTGTCATAAGAGGGAATTCCAGCCCCTACGCTAACCCACCCTTCCCAGACCTCCTAAACTAACGTACACTTAAAGTGCAGCTTACTCACCTCGGTAAGACCCGCTCATAGAGGCGAAGCCTTCAGACACTGGAGACCCTCGGAACAGTGCCCTATAAAAGTCTATGAGGGTCCTCTGTACAGACACAGCCAGTGGTGGAGAGGAAGAGGAGAAGATGGCTGCAGTTGTCTTCTGAGGTAAGTAAGCCTGTGACCGCCCCCCACCGCACAATGTGCTCCCCCCCCCACCGCACTAT